ATAAGCGCACTTTCTTTTTTTTTTATTTACTTTTTTTTTGCATTTTATAGCCAGTTCTGAGAGCTATGCTTGATGGGCTCCGCACTATTACTCTGCATTATGCTATCATCATTGGCATATGTATTTAAAAACCACCTCAATTAAATGTTTTCATCAATCTCTGACACAGCAACAGGGAGCTTATTTTATATAGCTTACAAACCATTGGACTACAGTAAAAAATACGCCCATAAGCAGTTGGTTTTTTAGAGGTGTGAGCCAAGAATGTAAGATCAAGTCTTGAACTCAGAAGTCTGCGTTGCCAAACTCCCGAGCCATAAGAAGAACCACAACCTAAACTACCGTGCTACCGTGGCTGCTAAACACTTTCTTCATGATCGAATAGAAAATAGTAAGATCATAAATTTGTTTTCTAATATAAGGTTTATCTTATAGAAACCAATAAATATTCGAAATAACTCTACTGAAATAAATTTCGATATAGATTGAGCAGTGAAATATAATTTTTGTTGGTTTTTATTGTATAGCCGCTTAAGAAAGTGATCATATCTAATTTCATAAACTCTATGATGTTTTAATACGATAAAACATACTTATAGCAAAAAATCTATCTTTTGTCGATGTGAAGCAAATGAATATAAGGTATATAAATAAGAATACACCGTATGACTGTAAATAAAGTAATTTCATGCTACTTTTTCGTTTGGTTTTTGAACTGAGACCATAATTATATGTTCAAATACTTCCGAAGGAACGAAACATAAGTTCGTCCGATTGTGCATAATACCAGTGAACACTCTTGTATACGGAATGTGGTAAATTAAATTTAAAGTACTGTAGATCAAAAAGTGAAAGTCAAGTTGTGTATTGCGTGCTTATAGTGTTAATAGTTTTCTTACAAAGATTTGGTCAAAACAATTTTTTTTTATTATTATGTCAACAGTATAATTTTAAGTTCAACGTGATGAGAACAAAATAATCAAGACTTTTAATGAGACAACATTTTATCATTTTTATCATTTATTATTATTATTATTGTTATTATTTCATCGTCATTATTATCAATATCATCATCATCTGCATAATTATTGTCATTAATATCATCATGAATTTTATCGCCATTATCATTATCATTATCATTATCATGANGCAAACAAACTGTTGCTTGGATTTCTATTATTGTTATGACACACACAGTTTAAGGGAGAAAAACATTTGTAATACAAGCTTTTTTATATTAAACTATATGTAAGCAAATGACATTATGAGAATGTCATTTTCAATCATTTTGTTAGACAGTATTTTTTTAACATTAACATTATTTTTTAGTTATTATAACTTCTGCTCTGAGCCTTAATTCTTAGAGCTGTTGAAAAAAGCTAACAAAATTTGCACTAACATCTTAATTGAAAAATTTTTTCAAATCTAGTTTATTTAAGATGTGCCTATTTTCCATATGCAATTATCACCAATAGTGAAATTTTATTGTTTATATTTCATTTAAAAATGTAGACTGTAAAGTTCTCCGTTTTGAGTTGCATTTTTGGTTTGGTGTTCTACTCGACAGTTAAAACTAACAAAAGGGTTAAAAATACTGTGACGAATAAAATCAACGTTGCGAGTACTTGGATTAGCAAAAACCAGTGAATATTATTAATTTACAGCTTACAATCATTATTATAAGGAGCTTTAATGTTTTTGTGTGTATCGGTGCTAAATTTATGTAACATATTATTTTGTATAATCAAAGCAGTTGCAAGACATATAAAAAGTGACAAAAAAAGTTTTAAAAGTCTGTAGTATAAATTCTTTTCAAGAATTATTAATAAGTAACAACTAAATTGATAAAGCATTAACATGACAATTTATATTTTTTCACACAGAGTAAGCTAGCTGAAAAAATTAGACAATAAAAATCAGCTGATTAATCAAGTGATAAATCAGCTGATCAATCACGTGACAAATCATGTCATTTTGTCAGGTGATAAATCGGATGATATATCACATGATTAATCAGCTGATTTATCATCTGATTTCTTATGACAGGGAGACTTACTAAATTTTTGGAAGTTATACTTCTATAGACACGTTCTGCCTTACGGAGTAAATCAACGATTTCAGATTGGTGACCTTGAGAAAAAGTGTGACGGAAGTGGATTGTGCTTGATTTTCCCCCTTCACCCCGCCTCCCCCCTTGATGTACTTCCGGTCCCCCTACAACAGCCAACATCCAACATCATCATCGCACCACACTACTACAACGTCATCACACCGCACCGCACCACATATTTTAAATTTTACTATTTTTTTTCTTTTAACCAGTTTAGGAAAAAAAAAAAAAACCTTATACTGTTAGTATAGATAAGCTATGGTGATTCCAGCCCAGATCAGCTCGAGTCACCAACTCGCTAGGCCATTTCAGCCCACTCCCTCTCCACGGCGAGCGGCCCCTCTTTTCGGATGGAGTAGTCCCTGCTGCAGCCAATGGGCAAGCAGGAGCTGTGGCTTCCTCGCATTCCTTGTGCGTGCGCTGCTTGAGGTTGCAACGCAGTTTGAGTTTGCGTACGATGCAATGTGCATAAGTCGTCTGCAGCGCTGATTTGCGCGCGCTGCTTAAATGTGCGAAATCGTGTGCAGCTTGTGCACGTGGTAGTTATGTGCATACAAAAACTTTTTTGTGTTAACGAGCGTGTTGCATGATAATGTAGGATATAGAGTAGTAGCGAAATAATTGTTAAACATTGTTTTTGTTTTATTTTGTAAATCAGTTTATATTAAATAAAAAAATGTACATGATTAACAAAATATGACTAGCAAAACAAGCATGATTATGTTTTAAGAAAATAGGTTCCAAAACGCAAGCAAAAATTTTTTTTCAATAATTTTTGTTGTTGCTAATTCCATTTCATACGTTTACATCATTTTATATTGAAAAAGCCCATGAGACTCAATAAAAAAATATTTTGTCATANGATTAACAAAATATGACTAGCAAAACAAGCATGATTAATAAAATTCGTTTTGTTAAACATCTTATTCTTGAAATACATAAAAATTTGGAATAAAAAGTTTATCAGTATTGTTTTTATTGTGTGCTTCGCTTAAGCAACCACGTCATAGCCGGTCATCCATGTAGGCTGTTACTTTTGTCGTTTAAGGCGTTCATATGCTGTATAATATGAATCGCTGTCTTGCTTTGATGACTTAATTGATACGCTAGTCAGAAACGATTGTCTTAATAAATGTACTTTATGTAGGGCACAAAATAGTTTTTTCTTTTCAAAATGGGTTTGTCCGCGTGTAAGGTGTTATAACCGAACTTGTTCAGAGTAAGGTCTTAACTGTTTTATTTAAGTGTCATTCGTGGGATTCTTAGAATTCAGCTTGTGAGCTTTATTTGTTCTTTTTGTATTGAATAATGATCTTTATTTAAATAATATGGGTAATTAATGTATTTCTTCATTGAAGCAATTTAATAATAATTTGTTCTTTTTTAAATACAATTTAATTGGGTCACTTTATTAAGGTTCCGCGTAAATTTTATTACTGATATTTTACTAACATCTATCACTGATTGTTGTTACTGCTTCGGAGTTCCCTAATGCTTCGTGCTGTAACCATCAGTGTTTTTTTAAACTACAAGAACGAGTTCATGGCCAGTAGGATGTTGCAACTTCTGCTTTCTCTGCTATCGCCGGAATCACTTTTGGCGAGCTTCCTTTGCTGTACCTCACTCCTTGGCGTAGTCTGATACTGTTTATGTTCTCGATACGCACTCAAGTTGCCTCAGCCAACACGTTATGCCTTTCATGTATAAGGTACTCACGAGTCGCGAGAGTCAAGAGTTGACTAAAACTTTAGAGGACAGGTGACAGATGTAAAGAGAGCGATTTTTCCTCTTGATGGTGCATTTTTATAGCATCAGAGTGAGTAAAAGAGGCCTTTGCTTGAATTAGGTGAACCAATGAGCGATGTTCTTGCAGACTGCGTTGACAGTTGCACGATGATGTTACATGTTATGATTTTACATATTAAGAAATAACATTACAACAGTACCAGTCACATTTTCTGACAAGTGCGATTGAGTTTTTGGATCAGTGATAATGAAAGCTCGTATCAGCAATATAAGAACGCCAAGTACAAGTTCAATTGTGACAGTGGGTTTACAAATTTCGAAATTAATCGTTCGGAGGATTTTACAATCAATTTTGAATATAATGAAGTAATGTGTGTAATACAAATTTTTTATTAGTATAAATTATCAATATTAAATAATTAATGAGCAAGTAATTATTCATTCATACATACATGCATTTTTACAATGAGGCTGGCCGTATTCTATGTCAGCATATTATGAAGCATTCACCTGAAAGCTAATACACACACGCTCACACATAAACGACGTGCGAGCTTCTCTTGTCATATGAGCTTGCTTTATATTCACAATACGTGTCTATACGACCTATGCAATGACCCAATATCGCAAAGAAAAAGTGAGAAGTGTAATAATTAAGCTGTACGAAATGTATTAACGGCTCTCAAATAAAAAGAAAAAAAGAAGCATACACCTGAAAACTTTTTTTTTATATGTACGCAGGTTAGAATTCACTTGCGTTGAGAACTTCGAAAGCTTTTTTTGTTGACAAGACAGCAGATTGGTCAACTTCCCTATATACGTCACACTAACGCGATACGCGAGGCTTTTACGCATTTTCTATGTGACCACAAAGTGGGGTATACCTAACCTTCCTTACTTTTACGTGGTACGCGATACGCGTTACTTTTTACACGGTTCCATGTGCCCGAGCTCTTAGTTTACTTGACCCCTACCGTTGTCGATGTGCGAGAAAGATAGATACTCACGCTCAATACAGAACTACTCGTGCTTCAGTGGCGTACACAGGAATGAGCAGTCTTTATTTTTTATATGTCTATGGCTTGGACTTGTAGCTCTTGTTTACTCCGTGCTTGTATCTCTGCGATTGTAAGTGATTCATCTTCGAAGAAAAGATTGGTTAAGTACATCCGACAGTTATTTGTTCAATACTTGCTAATATTTGACGAGTTAGAAAAAACGTAATGAATTTTGAAGCCTTACGTAAACTTTATTTATTAGATTGTTGATAGTAAGTGAAACAAATTTTCCGAAATCAAAATGAGTCGACATCAGAGATGGAAAAGATCTAATGAAGTTACACTAGACAAATTAAGAAGAACTAGCATTTACTAACTATTAACTGTTGCAACAAGGCTGGGTAAATAGATATAGTATCAATAGAGAATAGTGAAAGGTAGACAAAACCATGTGAAAAGAAAGAAAGAAAAATTAGGATCAGAGCAACTGGGTTTCATCTTATCCTAAACAGAATCTAGTTTATATGATCATCATCATAATCTTTTCCAGTAATGTTGTACTACGAAGTACTGCCAAGAAAATTTTTAAGAATCTGGAAAATAAAACAAATGAGTGTATTATTGTATGATTACTCAGCTCAAGACTTCTTTCTTTTGAAACATAGTTAAATAAAGACAACTTTTGTTTATTTAACTTCCGAAGACAAAGTCGACTCATTTAGTACAAAATATTTATTAATTTTAAGCAATTGCCATAAATTATAACATTGTTCACATTAACATAGTATGTCAAGTAGAGAAAAAAAAAAAAAGATTGACAAAACACTAAAATACACCATTTTATTTGAATCAATCCATGAATAAAAGCTTCAGTCCACGTTTAAAGAAGTATTGAACTGCCCTGGTGTAAAAAACGATGTTACAAATCATAGTTCATCTAATCTTATGCTACTGCACTTTTCCAACCACTTATGGTGTTGTGATGGCTAAAAAATCTCTACTGAACTGTGACATTGCTAAAACTTATTTTGTTACTGAGGGATTTCTTCTTAGTGAAATACCTAAGGAGCCTATTCCATGTAAGTGTTAATACATGTGTTTAATTATTGTAAAATATATATTATACTATGAGTTACTATACTTCTTGGTTCTGTGTCATGATTGATTCTGTAGTTAATTTCAAGTTTGTCTAATCCCAGATTCATACTGTTAATTCAATTCAATTAATCAAAAAGCATAAGACATAAATTAACATTTATAATCAATTTTTTTGGCTTTTAATAATTCTGGTCGAGTCATCATTATTTTGTTTTTAATATGTTAGTTTTCAGAATATTAATTTTTAACGTTTAAAAAGTTTGTTTATACCATGAAGCAGAAATTGAAAGAACAAATTGTATTAATCATTAGACTTCCGTTTTAAAAAACTACTACGTAGTAATTAATGTAGCACATACGATTTTTTTTTAAATACCATTAAAAAGTAAAATTTCTATTCTATATATAATCAAGAATAATGAAAAAAAACATTATTTTTTAATTTAAACTAACTTTAGAGGCTGATTGTACCGCTCTAACCTCTTTAAACCACTGTTACCGTAGCCGCTCTACAAAATTGTGTTTTTAGGATGGTAACTGTAACAAAAGCTATTTAGTTATAAGATAATATGAACTTAATGGCCAATTTCAATCAATCAAATGATATTCAGTAAAAAGTAGCATTTAAAATACATCTGGAAGCGCGTGTGTTCGCTATGTGCAGTAATCTAAAACAGCGCCACCTGCACGGAAGGAAGAAGGCGATGCTGGATAACACGATTACATAGCCTGTTGTGGGCTGCAAACTTTGTTAATTGTTTTTTGTATTTTTAATGCATTTTCGATACTTGAAGTATTGGTTTTCATTGTTAGCAATTTGTTTTAAACAGATAACAAGTATCACTTTATAGTTAAAAAAAGTATATAAAAAATAATATAACAAAAATTATTTTCTGCTCAATATAAATTCTTAATACTAAAAATCCAGACTTTAAGTATCAAAAATACATTAAAACTACGAAAAACAATTACTAACGAAGTTTGCAGCCCATAACAGGCTATGTAATCGTGTTGTCCATCATCGCCCCCTTCTTCCCGTGCAAGTGACGCTGTTTCAGATTACTGCACACAGCGGATGAATGTTTTCGAGCACGCGATAACCCCCTCTACCAAGCCGGATTCCCCTTTTCGCGTCCTAAAGCCAGTATCATAGATGTATAAGAAGATATCTTATACATCTCTATGGCAAGCATAACAATTTATCGCGTACGCGAATATAAACAATCGTCGATTACGCACTGATGAGTCAATTGTCGCGTACACGGAAATATTTACAAATTTTAATATTTGGCATAAGTATTAAATTATAGACCATAACAGATAGAGGTTAAACAAAAATCTCTCTGTTACGCACACACTCACATGTGTAGGTGCAGTATATGACTTACTTATAGTTTATGAACGTGTGGTGGCTTAGTCGGCTAGGTTGTGGGTCGGCACACAGGAGACCGCAGTTCGATTCCCGGCCAGTGCGACTTTTTCGGGCAAGTACCTCTGTGAATTTTCATACGTGCTTTTTCACCACACTATGCTTCGAGGAGGGTTGGGTGACCTCCTCGCAGAAAAAATTTCCCAATTTCCCCCTACCCCCTCCCAGTAATGGGAGACCTCCCTTCGCTCTCCCCTTCCTTCTCTTAAGTACTAAGTGCCAAGAGTAGCGCCGTTCATAAGAGCCGGACGTTAAGCACTGTAATAAAAATTTAGCTTACAGCTATATTAGAGCTATGTAAATGACTGCAAGGTATAAAAAAAGTTTTATCATTTGTGTAGCAAAATTATCATTGAAGTAAGACTTTTTATGCTGGGTTAGTATTTTATATGTTTATTTTTTTTTTTTAGTAAAAAATCGGGCAATTTCTGACTGAAAAAATTCTTTTATTATATTATTATTATAGATACAGTAGTCACTACAAAATGAAAAGATTTATGTTAAATAAAGCAAACCATTACAAATAATTTAACAATTATGGGGCACTGGAAAAATGTAAAAAAAAAAAGCAATAAATTACCTTATAAATTGGTTATCAAAAGGGCCAACTTAAAGTTCGTCGTCAATAATTTTGTATTTTGCAAATATTACAATATTACCTACTGATCTTAACAACAAAGTTGATAGAAAAAAGCTACAGTATTTTCTAATTTGTTTCCATTCATACCTACAAGGCAAAGTAAATCCATGACAGGCAACTATCACATTGGACAGTTCCTGATGCAGCCTCTATTTCAAACGTCGCAAACAAACTGTTGCTTGGATTTCTTTTCTTTAACAATGTTTTTTAAATACTTAACTGCTTTTTTGGTCAAATGTGATGACAATGTATTTAAATTTTCTGTTTCATCGATAAAAATATCTTTCTAAGTAGTTTTAATTTCTTTTATATCGCAAAAGTTAATTATACAAGATTGACCTAACATAACCACTAAATTCTTTTGGTAGTAAAAATCGCAGCAACCCGATCAGAAAGATAAAAGGGCTTCATCTAGGGCCTACATTGGTTACCCAGTTACCTATGTAGGTCCAACCAGGGCAAATACATAGAGGTAGATGGCGCAGTGTAATGGAGGATTGTAGGAGATGTGATGTCAAGATACTTGGCTTGGGCAGCTCCCTTCTGCAAGGTCGAATGTTCGGGAAGGAATTGGTAGTAAGGCGAGATTAACTTTATGACTCGTAGTATTTAAGTCTTTATTTAGGCATGCCTTTTCCTTACAACTGTCTTCAGCGACAGCTTAGCGTAGAGAGACTCGCGCAGGAGTCGCGTGGCGTAGTAACTATATTGTAACTAGACTAGACGTTCTATGGAGTTTGTTATACATTCCCGCTCGGCCTACTCGGTCGGTATCCCCACAGGATTATTTGGGGCCAATATTGGCATCCCAATTAACCTATAAAGGACAGGGTTAGAAAAATAATGAGAGATTTGAAAATAAAGTTTAATAATTAATGTAGGCGACGCATATAAGTCTCATTCGTAATGACATTTATTAGCATAATTTATTTGCAAATTACTTTCATTATTAAATACTCCCACTTCATTAATTATTCCACGCTTCAAAATTTTATATACTCATGAACTCTTATTAAACTTAACAACAATAAACGCTATTCTTTGTCACCCGTAGTAATTTATTAAAATAATGAAACTTGAGTAAATCTTCGTATTTAATACTTAATATGAGTAATTACTG